GAGAGAGAGAGAGAGAGAGAGAGAGAGAGAGAGAGAGAGAGAGAGAGAGAGAGGCGTGGAACAAGGGGAGGAACACTGACCTTCGCCAACGTACTCCTCAGACGTCCAAGGCGGGGGCGGGTGGCAGTAGCTGAAGAATGCACTACATGGTGGATTGCAGCAGGGGACAGCACATGGAGTGGAGCCGTTTTTTTGGGCGGCGGCCTGGAAAAGTGTGGGGTTTGAATTTAAATTCTCAGTACCTCCCTGCTGGAGGGCATCTCAGGAAGATGCATCCCCCACAGAAGGGCAAATCGGATAGGCAGCAGGGAAATAGGACCGCCGGTAGGGGCATTCCGAAACGTTGCGCCCCTTACTGATAGGGGCCTGCAGGAAAGTTCAGAGGCCCAGGGGCAAATCAGGATAAGTCGGCAGTGGAAGGGACAAACTTCAGGGGCATTTCGAAAAATTTCCCAAAAAAGAAAAGAAAAGAAAAAAAAAAGATAATGCCGTTCAGAGCATCATCACAGTCCGACGGTGCCCGTGGGGCACGGTTCCACTACCACACGAGTAGGGGCATACTCACACTTGCCCGTTCTTTGATGTATCTGACTGCAATTAGGGCCGGGGCTGGATGAATCTGACTGCAATCACATCCAGAGCCCAGTAGAGAAAGTCCCGGTGTGAGTATGCCCTGAGATCTACAGTAGTGTAGAGGGTGAGCATGTGTGGGAACCTGCACCTCACTCATTGGTGTCCCATCCTACAGTAATCTCCCCGCGGCGAAACCTTTGTATTCATTTCACCCCAAAGGGGCCCAAAGGGGGCAGAAGGTGTAGCAGGCCCCAAAATGACCATTAACGTTATTTTCGCACCCGGAAAAAGACCTTTCTGCCATTTTTGCACAGCGGGCGTAACCGGGCCAGCTAGGGTGCAAAAAAATGACCAGAAAGTCATTTTGGGGCCTGCGACACCTCTTGCCCGTTTGGGGTGAAATCGATACAAAGGTTGCGCCGCGGGGAGGTTTTATAAACTTGCAAAATTTTTGATGCTCAT